ACAAGTGCCTTACTAGTAGTAACAAGAAGCTATTAGAAACAAGTGCCTTAGGTTGGAGGCCATCGCTAGTAGGTTGGAGGCCATTGAGAGTAGCTTCAATATACAGAACAAGACAAGAACCATGGCACTAAGAATATGGGCGTCGAGCTGCACGTTGGTTCCACCGGCAGCCATTTCCGCCAGCGCCTTTTGCACAAAATTCACGACCTCTCCCTGTGTCACTTCTGCGACAGTGGGGATATTTTTGGCAACCTTGGACTCCTTCAGAACCTGGCGCCGGCCGGGCACGACAGGTTCAGTCGCCGCCGCGCCGGCTGAAGCGAAAAAACAGGGGGATCAAGTGAAGCGGACCGAATCCATTCTTCGGGTTCCCTCATGGGACAAAGTGGACCCTCCGAGCCTTGCAATGTTCATGAACCGGACGCTACGAACGGAGCATTTTGGCATTTTGGGCATCGCTACGAACGGAGCGATCGGACGCTACGAACGGGGTTCCTGGCCTTACTACTAGGAACAAGAAGCTATTAGGAACAAGAATTAGAATTGAATTCAATTAGAATTATATAGAATTGAATTAGAATTGGAACAAGGACGCTTCGAGTGGACCTTCTGGGCCTTCCAATGTTCATGAACCCTGGTGGTTCTCCTCTGGTCCAAAGGCAGGAGAAACATAGAGAACCTGCACTGGCCTCCCTCGACGAACCCCTTGCAATTTAGAAGCTGTTTTCTCGACTTCCGAGACAAAATGTTTTTGGCCCAAGCCATCAATCTTTACGTCCCACTTGCCATTGAACTTGCCGAACTCCAGCATTTTGCAAAACGAATCCAGCTCCTGCAGACTGGTTTTGCAAAACCTGTTCAACTGAGCATTCTTGGTTGACCCCCCTGAATGTCACAAGGTCTTGTCCGAAGAGCAACTTCGCGTCTTTTCATCACAAAATTGTGCAGAGCAAGGCTCAGCCATGATATCATCAACACAACAAGCCGCTTCTCAAAGTTCGCAATGACCCAGTGCTGGTTTGATCAACAGTGAGATAGAAATCCAAATTTAAACAGCTTCACCATCAATTTTCCTTTAGACATCAAATGGCATCAACGACTCAACGACTCCTCAGCTGTGAGAACGTCTTTGAGCTCGCAGCCCTTTTGCTCCGCAGAGGTGACGGCCAACAAGGTCAGAGAACGGAAGAGATTGCCATTACCTGGCCAAGACAACAACGCACAAGGTACCACTGCACATGTCCATACACTTTCTGGGGGAGGAATATTGGTTTCTCCTCACCGTCTTTGTGAGACAAGCCAACCAAATGCATAATACCAGAGGTTCTCCCTTCAGAGCTTTGATTCGACACATCGGACCGGACCGTATGTTCCTGGCGACCCGCGGAAGTTGCATTGAGTGGTGTATGTAGCTTTTGATTGGAGTGGTGTAGGTTTACTTGGGTTTTCCGCGAGTTCTCATTTGGTCTTTGCAGCTTCTGAAGTCTGTGGGGGTTCTTGGACCGATTCGTTCAAGTGAAACCGGTGGCTTACCAAGGAACTTGGCACTTGATACTTTGCTTGATTCCACGAAGCCACCCAAAAAAAAAACGAAAGAAACAACTCCCCAAAAGAGAGAATCTCTTCATCAAGCCACTCCAGGTCTGCGCATTGGGGAGCTTCTCCTTGAGCTTCTCTACGGTGGTACCTTTGCCAGTGCCCGACAGCCCTTGCAGCGTCATGACACATCCTGAGGACAGCGAGGGCGGCGTGTCATGCAGAGGACCGTCACGCCAGCAGAGTCAGAATTCACACGACACGGCTGGCACGACGACACGGAAAAGGCACTTGATGTCTGCAAAAATCTAAAATATCGACAGTAGATAGATAGCCATATAGATAGACAGACCGACAGATATGGATAATGATATGGATATGGATGTGGAAAAGCAAGCCAAGCATCCCTTTGAGGGAGCATCACCCAGGGACGCAACAATTTCATCTGCGACTTTGTCCGCCTTGGATTGTTCGGCTCACCAAAGACCAAAGAAGCCCCAAACCAGAAACGACATGGAAGTTTTTGATGAGGAACACGCTGACGCAACACAAAAAAGCTAGGCGTCTCTGCAGCAGCAGCAGCAGCCAACAAAAGCATATGTCGGCCATTCTCCTCTATGGCCCTAGTGACTGGCTTCTACGAACCCATACAAGCTGAATTGATAAAACTCTGAAACCTACTCAAGGATACTCACCAAAGTCAACAAAATCATGTTCACCATGGGCTTAGGCTTGCAGTCAAGCAGCACTCTTTCCGGAGACGCTGATTTTGGTGGTTGGTTCAACCTTTACATCTGCAGGCAAGACCTGAAGCAAGTTGGGGATCCAAGACTCATCAACCTACCGCCTTGACAGGAGCACATGGTTGCAGCATCAAACTAGATGCTAAACAGTGTTGGTGTTGGTCTGGTCCTTTTCACGAAGTCCACCAACGTCCACCACACCGGGAGCCCAAGGGCTGCTGGTGTGACCCAAACATCACGACCCCCCGTCCCAAGAATCTGTTGATGATCACAGCCACCGCGTATCACCCCATGGTGTCAAATTGGTCAAATGGAGCCCCTGAAGATGTGGCCTTCTTGTCGACCGCCAGCTGGATCCCCTTGGCCAGCTTGTCGCCATCCTCTTGGTCCCGGCGCATGATCTCTGCCATCAATCGCTCGGCCAACTTCTTAAAGGCTGCATCCTCTTTAAACCTTGGGGGCGGAGAGACACCACCTGGGATCAAGGTGAGCACTATGCGGCACCCAACGTCGCATACCGGTGCCTGGCACCCAGGCAAAGAAGGGAGGGGCACTGCGTATGGAAGCCCAGCGGCTTTTTTTTCGACCGGCATTGACCACAAACACTGGGAGATTCCTCCAAGCAGCTCTTCGATGATGGCTGCGGAAGTGACGCTATTTTGCAAGGCCAAGGTCTCGGACGAGATCCCCATGGCACGTGTGACGCTGCTCGATGACTGTATGAAATAGGCTGCGGACGTGTGGGAACATGTGGAAAACAAGTCATGCTTAACCCACATCTCAGTTAAGGAACCTAATAGACATGGCCTCCAACCTACTAGCGATGGCCTCCCACCTAATAATTAGCGATGGCTTCCAAACCTACTAGCGATGGCCTCCAACCTACTAGCGATGGCCTCCCACCTAATAGCGATGGCCTCCCACCTAATAATTAGCGATGGCTTCCAAACCTACTAGCGATGGCCTCCAACCTACTAGCGATGGCCTCCCACCTAAACGCGATGGCCTCCAAACCTACTAGCGATCGCCTCCAACCTACTAGCGATGGCCTCCCACCTAGTAGCATTGGTGCAGAGTTGCGGGTATAAACCACCTTAAAAGGCTCTTGGTCCTTTGCTTCCAGGTGGCCTAATAAGGCCTTAAGAACCATCGAAGGCGCCAAAGAGATTTTCATCTGTGCCCTCTGTGAGATGAGACCATTCAGAACTTTTAAGTTCTGCCGGCATCACATCCACTTCGGTTCCATCTCTTCTGATCCACTTCTTCTCAGAGTATGGCACTGACATCCTCAACGTCGCTCAGTTCATTCAAAGTCTTTCGAGGGAAACAGTGAAAGTGGTTCTTGCCCGGTTTTACTTTAAAAGTTCAACTGATTCCTCCAAAATCTCCATCGTGCTTTGCCTCGTTAGCCGACCTATGGTGCATCCGCCAGACTAAGATCATCCTCTTCAGGTGCTCAAGTTACGTGCTCTCGGCGGTTGCCTCTTTCTCTCCTCACTTGGCCCCCTTGGCCTCATTGGACCTTGGCAATGAACACAACTCACAACCGTGTTTGCTTGGTTGCACCCTCACGGCAATGCACACACGGTGCAATACACAGGAGCGTGGAACCCACACCTGCCACACCTGCTCCATCTTGTCGACTTCGACCTTGTGGCAAGATGTTGGCACCTGCTCCAAAACCTACTAGCGATGGCCTCCAACCAACTAGAGATAGCCTCCAACCTAGCGATGGCCTCCAACCTACTAGCGATGGCCTCCAACCAACTAGCGATGGCCTCCAGCGTACAGCGATGGCGATGGCCTCCAACCTACTAGCGATGGCCTCATACCTACTACCGACGGCCTCCTACCTAATAGCGATGGCCTCCAGCCTAGTAGCCATGGCCTCCAACCTACTAGGGATGGCCTCCAACCTACTAGCGACGGCCTCCACCCTAGTAGTGATGGCCTCCTACTCCCAATAGCGACAGCCTCCTACCTAATAGTGATGGCCTCCAACCTACTGGCACCCTACTAGCGATGGGCCTACTAGCGATGGCCTCCAGCCTACTAGCGATGGCTTTGTGGCAAGATTCTACGAACTCTGCTGTCTGCACATCGGCCACTCATTGGCGACACATTGTTCGGCCTGAAATTCGTCCAGCACCCTTGTTCGGAGACCAGCTGCTGGGAACCTGAGGAGTCTGAGGTATATTCATACGTGTACTGTTGAGAAATGCTCACAGAATCAACATGAGCCACCATGAGCCACTACATTCACTCTCTGGCCATGGCAAATCCTCGGGGTGCACTGCCTCAACCGGCAGAAATTGAAACTCGCCTTGAAGACGCCGAGGGGGGGTAGGAACAAGGACGCTACTAGGAGCAAAGGGCATCGCTACTAGTAACAAGTGCCTTACTAGTAGTAACAAGAAGCTATTAGTAACAAGTGCCACGCTAGTAGTAACAGGTGCCTTACTAGTAGTAACAAGAAGTAAATCAGCAAAACTTGCTGCGTCGGCCGATTTGAAGAACTGTTGCCGAGGACGCGACTACTTCGGGCAATGCGGGCTTGGACACCTGCACCTGCAGCAAGAGGGTGTAAAGAGTGGGTCAAAAATGAGACACGAAAGAACAAGCAACACTCTGGTGAATGGTAAGTTTAAAGGCGGTTTCAGTATGCTTCAGTCAAAGTGTAGCTACTTTGAAACTCGCTGCATGTTCTCCACCAAACATACTGCAAAGCACAAAGGCAACTTGCAGTAACTTGCACTCGATTGCACTAAGTTACATTGTGCAACTGCATTCCATGGCAGCAGGATTCAGGATTCCAATTGTCCTACTGACCTTAGGGCAGACTGCAAGCCGCGCAAAGAAAACATGCCATTCCCATTCCCCTTGCTTTCAGCCTGTGCTGGTGCCATTGATGTTGGCCGTGAAGCGAGGAGCAGGTGCTCCTGCCAGCTTCGCGCTCGCTCCACCGCATTCGGATCAGCAGCAGCAAAGAGTTTCGAGATGCGGGCCATCACTTCGATGCACTGGTGGGCTCACTGCACGGGCGACCCGGGGGAATCCTGGATTCTCGAATCGACGGAGAACGACGAGAAGCCACAGAGCTGCTCGGCCTCTGTCAGAGCTGCTTGTAGCACCACCCTCGGAATATCCTGGCGCGAGTCAATGCCACACAGATGGTGGTGGGTCACCGGGAAAGTCGTTCGCTACATGGTGGACCAGGGCGACCAGGGCGACCAGGTTTTGACCCATTCCCAGATCATACAGCCAGGAGTTCCTCTTCTTTTTCTCGCTTGATGCCAACAACACCGTCCGGCCTGCCCACGCGTCACTTCGTTCTGGGCTCTCGCCCCTTCGACCTGCGAGCGGTCGAAGAAAGTCGCGAAACGCTCAGGAATGCGGAAGGAGTCACTTCAATGCGTCAAATGCTTGTGCTGCACAAGCCTCCATCAATTCCATTTAGACTTTAGATGACTTTAGTGTGCGGTGCCTGAATCCCAAGCTGCTCGGGATGCATTGCGGTCAGAACCTTCAAAGCCTACAGCATGTCCAACCACAGGGACGCTGCAGGTCCAACACGGGCGGTCTGTTGGACGAACAGGTCTACTTCTTCACTCCAGGCTATCACATGCCATGCAGGTTTTGCATCCCAGGATGAGAAATCAAAAGGGTGAGCTAGCTCACCCTGTCGCCGTATGACCGGCCTCGCTGAAACTCTGGGCTCTTGCCCCAACCTGGCACAATGGAGTCATGATCAAATCTGGTGACCGTGTGCTAAACATGCCAGTGCCGTCCAGCCCCACCAGCCCCAGACCTCAGCCATAAATCAGCATCCAATTGCAAAACCTACTGCCGTTGTCCTAAGATGTCCTAAGTACAAAACCAATTCTGGGGGCCAACAGAGAAGAGAGATGAGTTTTCGACTGCGGTGCTGCAATGTTGTGCTGATAGGTCGCCACGTGGCGGTTGCACGGCTCGCATGTTGCACGGTTCGCTGCCGCACACATTTCTTCACGCGAGGCGAGGCTGCTACGCCGCAGTCTGAAGCTCCAGGGGTTCGAGGCCAGGAGCTCATTGGAGCAAGCGACGAAGACTTCAACTTGCCAAAGAAGAGAGCTTCGGAAAAATGACTTCCTGGCACTCTTGGGGTGGGGATTTGGCCCACTCGAGGCCATCTCACTAGATAGTTATGCCATCGCCTAACCTCGAAAGATCATGCTACACATGTTACAGCACCCTGCGGGACCCAGGAGTCCTGCAGTCCGGGCAATGGCTCTTCCGTTCAAAAGGAGTATAAATCGGGCAGCTCTCATCCGTTCACCCGGTATGTTCCACCGGCTTTTCTGGTGCTCTTAGAAGGTCCCTGACGCGGCGGCACGCCGTAACTCAGGCTCTGATTCCGCTTCCGCTTCTGGCATCATCACACCTGCCAGTTTCGCTGCAGTCGCACGGGATGGCTTCAAGCCTTGAAGTGCCCTTTCGGAAAGGCCTTCCTGTGCTGCCTTTCCATGTGTCTTCTTCTATTCAAAACGCTGACTTGATGGAATGAACTGCAGGTGGCAACTACTAAGTATCTACATGTAGGTTTGGCAATGGTAGCTTTACATGACCATCAAATAGCTTTTCTGTAGATTCTACATGTATCTGCCCAAACCCGCGTCGATTCTTCACCGTTTTCTCGCCCACAACCCACACCACACGTCTGACGTGACGTGGCCTCCAGACGTGGCAGCTCGTCGCAAAGCAGACCTGGGGCTTTTCTTGCCTGCGCACCACAGGTGTAGATCGAGCACAGGCTAGTTGGCTTCAACATATGAGGACATGTGGGTTCAAGATGTTCAATCATCCCAAGTAAAGGTTGAAAATAAAGATATCTGAAACCACCACCCAGTAGGTGATGATGATGATGATGATGATGATGATGATGATGAAACCACTGTCTCTCGATCATGGGAACTGCCCAGTGCAGTGTATTGAATGTTGTGGTGCTGTCGTTCATCCGATTGGATTGATGTGGCTTGTCGTCAAGAGCCCTGGTAAACGCCAGTACCGTGCCTGTCCGTGGTGAGGCTTGTGGCGTCAAGGAAGCCACCTGAGCTCTTCAAACGTATCTTCCACCAAGGGTCAATAGATGCACCAAAACCAAGGCTTCTGATGTGCATCCCTTGTTCCTAGTAGCGTCCTTGCTCCTAGTAGCCATGCCCTTTCCATTCGTAGCGAAATTGCTCCTAGTGGTAAGGCTTAGTAAGGCCGTTCGTCGCGCCCCGTTCGTCGCGTCACCCAACGCTTCGAGCATCCAAGTCGCATCCAGGGCATCCACCACTTGGGACTTCGCCTCGCCTCTCGCCTCCTCCACTCGTTTCAAGGAAGGCACTGCTGGACTCCCCGGCCCGGTCGTCGCAGCTGCTCGGCCCTTAAAGCAGGGCGCCTCCCATCCAGGAGGGGCGACGGCCATTCTGTTGGCATGCTTGAGGTCCTCCAGCCATCCTCACGAAAAGAAGAGAGCAGGGGACTGTGAGAGTGCAGTTTTTTTATTGTTTTTTTAAAAGTGTTTGGTATCATTTGCTCAAGATATGCAAAAATGCTTGTTTTCACTCTAGGGCAGAAGATACCACTCTACTCTAACATGGGGCCTGGGTTTTGGTTTTCCCAAAAGTTTAGGTAAATGCTTCAGTGGTAGCCCCTCTCCATATAAACACACATATATATATATAATCTATTCCTGCTCTCTCTATATGAACAAATATGTTACGTATTCCTGAATCAGGGTTCATTTTACTGTTTTGGAAGCAGCAAGCAGGTTCAGATGGTTTTGAACAAAACAATTAGGAAAGAAGCAGGCCATAAAAGTGTCTCTAGATCTCTGCTTATAGTTATGTTTAGATTTGGAAAGATTTTATATAGACGCTTTTATGTTACACAAGATTCTCTATAGATCTCTGCAGATAATCATTTTTAGGTTTAAACAACTATATAGAAACCTTGTATGTTAAAAGCGTTATTCTAGATTTCTGCGCGTAAGAGCTTGCATTTTCCAAGTTCTCCTCTGGATCTCTGGGAAAGTAGATATCCCACATATGTGTGTTTTCATGAAATGAAAGCTCTTGAAAGAAAAACATATTTATTGATATATAGCATGTTTAAATTGACATGACCATTTCCAGAGATCCAGAAGAGGAAAGCTTTCGAAATGAAAGCTTTTGTATATTTTTATTGTAGAAATGATCATCCCCAGAGATCTAGAGGGAAGCTCTTGAATTAGAAGCTTGTACATAAAACAATTTTAATATGTCTAAATTATTTCCAGTGATTACTTTAAATAAACAAAATCTAACTATTTACGTCAAAAAAGAGTTTTAGTCTTGTTCCCAGCACTCCCAGGTCAAAAAAGAACTGTAAAACATGGGGTTTTGTAGCATGTGTTTTCTTAAACTAAATAGACTGGAGCTAGAATAGAATTAGGTAGTATTAAATTGGATTTGAGTTAAAGCTAAGATAGAGCTGAATTAAAACCGAATTTCAACTAAACTTGTATTGAACTATATATGTGATACCAATCAGAAGTTAATGCACAGACTTGTACATGGAGATTTCGACAAGGACAAAGGGAGTGGTGGGCTCAGACACTTTCATTGTAAGGGCAAAGAACATATGTCTTTAGGTGAGACTTAGGCTCGCATACTTGAAGGTTGAACGAAATAGTAAGAACACAGATTGACCTAAATAGGAAAACCAAAAAACAAAAACCTTGAGAAAACCAATAACAACCTACGAAACGCCAAAAAAAAACAACAAAAAAACATTCTGGGGAAGTCTTGAGGAAAGGGGGGGGTCCAGCCAAGAGTCTCTGAGAATTGGTTTTGTTTGTTTTTTTGATGTTTTTTGTTTTTGTGTTTTTTTTGGTTGTCTCAAGGTGTTTTTGTTGTTTATTGTGGTTTATGTTTTTTCGTTTTTTGTGTGTTTTCAATGTGTTTTTTGTTTTCTCTATATTTTCTCGAGACTGTTTGTGTTTGTTTTCCAGTGAAATGGACATTGAGGCAGCTTTCACAGACACATAGCATGAATGCAGGCCACAGTAGCACATAGATGGAAGTAGGCAGCAAAAACACATAAAATACGCACTCTGGTGGTCCCCTGTTTTGAAAAAGAAGGGGAGCTCTCGCCATCCCTTTGGAAGATCCTAGACGACAGCACATGCTTCGCTTCGTCTGCCCATTGCTGGAAGACTTAGCAATCTTTACAGGATTGAAAAGGGATCCCCACGAACGGAGCATTTTGGGCATCGCTACGAACGGAGCGATCGGACGCCTTTCTCACGGGGCTCCTGGCCTCGCTACTAGGAACAAGAAGCTACTAGGAGTCAGTCAACCACGCTGAGTGGTCCATCCCCATCCACCAGCCTTCAAGGAGATCGTCGATGGGCAACCGTGCGGATTCCGCGCCAGCCCCGAAGGGGGTGGAGACGCAAAAGCCTAGCGGAAGGGGTGCCGGTTTGGGCCAAACGCTCAACAAAGATACCGCGCAAAGTGTCCATCTGGGGATAGATGTCCTTGCTGGGCCCAGGGTGGGGAACACAGTGTCTCTTTTAGCTTGTAATTATGAATGGTCAGAATCCCCAACAACGCTGGCGATTGTAGCGATCTTTCTCAAAAGAGGTAAGTCAGTGTGATATGCCACCACGATGTGAGCACAAGCCCGTCCTATCTCCAGGAAAGCTTGGTAGAGGACAGGTGCAAAAAAGCACTTCCTGGTGGGCAGAATGCGGCACTCACCATCAGGAGATCCATTGCTCAAACACGGGCATGCCGTGCCAACTGCAAAAGATTGCAAAAGCATGAAATCGCATCAAATCAACTGCTGGAAAGTGTTGATTGAATTCCACTCACCTTGACTGTTAGAATCTGTTAGATGTTGCTTCTCCCTGATGGCCTCTTGCCGCACACTGTCATCCACCACTACATCAAAACATCTGGAATCCAAGCAGCAAGAATTGGATGATAAGCACCTGAAAGTCTGTGTCTGCCGAGTGGTTGGGTTGAGGCTGCACCTTAGTCAAGCAGCCTAAACACCTGTGACTCCAAGTCACCTGCTGGTGCTCTGAGCCTCTGGCGCCATAGAGAGTGAGACGCGAATCGATATGTGCCAAAATGGACCCCAGGCAGCTTCCTCGCACATCGGAACATGCTCTTCCCGCACGGTTGGTTGAAGGATTTGCTTCAGCTGAGCATCTGAAAACACGAGCATATGGGACGCTTTGAAAAGGAACCACACGCGAGGAAACCCATTGCCTGGCCTAAAGTAAGGCCCATGCTTGTCGCACATAGCATATTGCCTGGACATAACTTACCGGCCATCCACAAGAACTGGACGCAAAAATGTGAAACCTTTTGAAAGTTAAAGCTGCTGCCGAGCAACTCACGTGAACGACTGCTGCGAGGGTATGGGTGTAAACATACGGCACCTGCACCTCTCCTGGGGTGAAGTGACTCAACTAAGAAGATAAAACAAACTGTGGACCTGTCGATGAACGAGGCAAAACAACAAGGTGGCGGTACCCATCGACTTAAGGATCCATTTGGGAAATTCGCTAGCTATCACTCGGCCCAGCTGCGTACGGCCCGGATCTGCTTCATGGAATCTTGCGCTGACCTTGCGGTTCAGAGGCGGGAGCCGCGAACTGGTGGGCCGATCGACCTGACAAAAAAAGGGGGCCGATAGACCTGGCCGATAGACCTTGGATGGAGGGACCACCCCTAAGAAAAAGCGAACGTAACAAAGGGCATCGCTACGAACGGAGCAGGAAGCTACGAACGTAGCTCCTGGCCTAACAAAAAGCTACCAAGTTTGGCCACTTGCCAAGGCATCCAAAAGGCTTCACGATTTGCAACAGCCTTCCGTAGATCGGGCTTGCCATGGGAGGAATCCTCGGCATCGACAACGCGAAATGTTGTTGCGGCGCAGTCGTGCAGGGCCGCCTTGGCCGCCTCATAGGCCGTCTGGAATCCTGATGGCCTTTTTGGGGGACTAGAGCAGGTTGGAGGCTGGTAGCTCAAGTCTAGCTACTTTCCCAAGGCGCACTCTCTTTTGGCTTCAAGGAAGCTACCCCCGCCTCAGGGCAACAAAGAAGAGTTTCACTTGGTTAGTCTGGTTCCTAGATGCTGAAGGAAGCAGGTATACATAATATATATATATATACAGTAACCTCAGAGCTTTCTTTTTACTCAAGATCATCCTTCGTTTTCTGGCACACCTCCCACTAGAGCCCTTCTTCACTCATTCCAGGGTGACCGGAGACCAAAAAAACACAAGCAATCCATGCCAAGAGACTCACCCTCCTGTGCCAGGGATCCCAAGAAGGAAGCCACCCAAACCCAGATCTGAATGGCCGGATCTGCCATTTTTTTCAGATCCTCCGGGAACTGAAAAGCAAAAAATCTCAGGTGGCACAGAGGTGGCGCAAAGGATCTCGGGTGGCTTGGTCAAGGAAAACGTCAGGAAAACGCAAACGGAAAGCTTTGGCTGCAGCAGGTGCTGCTCTGGCTGTTGGGAATGGTGTAGTACACAGATGGCATGGGTGTCTGATCGTAGCGGGGCATAGTTTGATTCAAAATCTACAGACATAAGCTTATTGTTTCTACTGGCTTCTTTGTTACTACTAGTAAGGCACCTGTTACTACTAGCGTGGCACTCGTTACTAGTAGTAACAAGGAGTAGTCGATCACTGCGGTCCTCAAGCTCCTTGTCCTTAGATTGTCCATGTGCTGTTCGCTACGCTGTGCAAAGCTTCGGCGTGTCTCCCATGCCGGAAGGCTGCAATGTTTCTACAGCAACGCCCTTTACGGCCAACCTCTCACATCATATCCCCAAGTCACTTCGTTTCGTCCCCGTCATCGCTGCCGCGTGGCTGTCACATGCAGCAGGGGATCCTTCAGCTCTATAAGCCTGAAAATCAACCCGCGGACCCGGTGGCGCCGCGGACGGCGACCTAACTTCAAACGCGATGCATCGGCTCGTGGTCACGGAATTCCGAGGTCTTTTGGGGGTAAAGAAGTGGCCGAAAAACTCTGAAGGTTCATGGGGGGGGTGCGTACTCTGAGGCATCATGAGCCATCCTTGTACCTGGTACCTTTTTTTTGCATGCGCACCATGACATGTTGATGCTTACGTTTAGTCGCGCACAGATCCTTCCTCCATCGACTCAGGGCACTTCATGTCACAGTATGATCCAGCTTGGCCGCGCGCGCAGGCTGGCCGTGCGCTCTCGGCCTTTCCTTCTTGGCCAGGCTGCTGGTCCCATATTCTATCAGGCAAGCCCTCTCGTCGATCCTCACCTGAAGAATTGACACTGAACCCTGAACCCTCTGGAGTTGCCCTTGCCCTCTCCACTCCAGTGTGGGGGACAGAAGCTCGGTCGAAATTCTCTCATCCAAGGTGCGTAGTGTTCGATCCAACAACCATGCCTTGGCTGCCACAGCAACAAAGGCACATGGATCTCAATGGCCAGCTTGAAAAGATCTTGGCAAGTATCAAGTATCAGGCTAAATGCTTTCAGACCTGGCCAATGACTTGGCCTCTGAATCCAGGCTTTTCGCCCCTCTTCTCACGGCAAATCACGTCATCCAGGTCCGGTCTCTTCCGCACCGTTCCTCCTCTCCGCCGCTCTCTCCGCAGATGCGCAACCCAGCGGCTGAGACCAAGCCATACCGCACCGGCCGGTCGATCTTCACGATGCTCACCCCCAAGGCATGCAGCCTAACGGAACCACCCTTCCCCCGGCCGGCCGAGGCGGCCGAGGTGGCGTTGGACCCAGCGGGGGTGGCACGGAATCGAGCTTGGAAAGCCCGGCCGATCGAGATAGATCCGCGGGAAGGATTCCGGTGTTTTTTGGGTCAGGGATCAAGGGGATCTCGATGTTCCGGGGCCGCGTTGGATCCTTGGGGCGCCCCACCATCTACATAAGTCCACCGAGACAAATAGATGTAACTCCTGAAGATCTGCTGATCGATCGACGGAATCTAGATCCTTTGCATGCCACCTGACCTAGCTAAAACCCTCTAAGAAACTAAGTATACAATAAGCCACATGCCCCAAACAGCCACATGCCCCCATGGCGGATATGTCCCTTGACCTGTTCAAACCTGGAATCATGGGGCGAAGGTGTATGAAGAAACGGCTACCGTGCGACTCTCCTCCACATATGCCAGGCTATATGCCAGGCTCGCCCCCCTGCACTCAAGGCCCAAGGCATGAAGCTTTGGAATGAAGATGTCCCAGAATTCCCCAGCTTTGCAAGGAAGAGGATGATTGAAACGTACAAACTACTTGTATCTACTTGTCTGTTTTATGGCGACCAAGTGGTGGAGCGTAGAGTCCTGAGTCCTGACTCTTCCAGCGACACCGGTTGCAGTACAACCGCAATGTCTTTGGCGACTGGGGCGACACATGGCGACCAACCAGGCATCTCAAACCAGGCAACTGCATCTGCAAGGCCCTGATCGCCTGGAGGAGTCCAAAACCACGTGATGAGTTTCGTGGAACGGTTTCCGCCTGTTTTGCTATCAAAACGGCATGCAGAAGGCTACGTGTCGACTGGTTGATGTGCAGCGGTCCACATGTGATTCAAGCTCGCAGGGTGACTCCCCGAGATTTGACAGAATGGCTCATGTCCCTTTCCCAGACTTCACATGTCCATGTGGACCCTGCCTCAAACAGGCCCAAGAAGGACTCCACACAGGAAGTCCATCGTGCCACCGAGTTGGTGATGAAAAAGCCCAAGAGCAACGAGACAAAGACCTCTTCTTATGCTTGTCTTTACGGCTGCGAGGGGGTAGGCTGAGAACTTTTGAGGTGAAGTTGGTAGCTTCCGGAAGCTACCAGGTGAAGCTTCCTTGAACAAGCCCTGAGCCGAAAATGATTTGAACAATTCCGGGGGAGCGAACATCACGTCATCCAAAGCTCTCTGAAAGAGTTATTAACTGTGCGTACACTGCGTTGACGAGAACAGAAGAATTGTGCAATACAGGCACCTGCGACACCTCATTGATGTCTAAACTTCACGTGCTTCCAAGGATGACATCAGTCGAAAAAAAAGAAGAATGACTTCCTTTCAGGGTCTCAAGATGCATCAGGGCAGATGCCTCAAGTGGGTCTCAGTGTCTGGTTGATCCCAGCTGCCGTCATGACCGTGGTGATCTCCGAGAACTTCAGTGGATCGACCGAGCTGGGATCGGCCACCAGCAGGAACTCCAGCAAGGTCACGAAGAGCGTCCAAGCCATAAATCCTCGGCGCTGTTTCTATGGGTGATGTGAAGTGATGTGATGAAGTTAATGGTTTTTGTTCACACAATGTGCTGCCTTGACAATGTGCTGCCTTGACCAGCAACAGAAGCCCAACTGCTAGGTGTTGTTTTAAGATAAAGGTTTGTCCTGAATTTCCACCTAGAAAGGCATATAGTATAGAGCCTGGATCCATTCCGAAAGAATAACTCAGCTTGTTGCAGTAGAACACTCGGGTGTTTTTCTCAGCCACCACTCCAGAAACGCCTTTCAGATTCACCGAAGCATACCGACATATATAAGTACTTCTACGTACCCTTGTGGTCTTGGCCGCCCAGGCCACACTGGGCCATGCGGAGGAAGGGGGCATTTGGTCAGGTCACTGGGCCATGCGTGGGCCGTGACCCATCACCCCGCCACATGGAAATCGGCACAGAACGCCAAAAATGCAACGTGTTCTTTTCGTCTTGCTTCTTCAATATCAAATGTTTGGGATGTCTTTTTGTCCCCTACTTTTGTGTCTTTAGACCTCGACAGGCATGTTTTCTCTTCTCTTTTGACATGTTTCTATTCTTTTTCATTTGGGCCTTTAGACCTGTTTTTTTGCTCTTTGTTTTCCTTGTACACCGGATCCTTGTAAGCCTCTCTTCCGATCCCAGGCTCTCAGTATCATGGTGTGAAGCGCCTTGCTTCTCCAGACCGTTTTCTCGAAGCAGAGCAAGGTCATCCACGACACTAAGCCCTGAGTACGATAACCTGAGTGGGCGCAGCTCTTAGGCACTTCTGGCCTTACTACTAGGAGCAACGGACGCTACTAGGGGTTCCTCCTGGCCATACTACTAGGAGCACAGGACGCTACTAGGGGCTCCTGAGGACGCTACTA